AGTCTAGTCACTATAGACGGAAAAAAAAAATCAGAGTGCCTTCCCTCAAAGCATTTACAAAGAAAAGGAATGAGCAGAACTCAGAGAAGAGATTAATCACTTCTGGTTGGTTGGGTGTTGGAAAAGGAAAAATAGGATCATTAGGGATGGCTGTCAGCTCAGTTGGTTAGAGCATGGGCGGATAATACCAAGGTCCAGGGTTTGATCTCTTTTTTGGTACCGGCCCACTGCCAAAAAAAGAAAAAGAAAAATATTCGTTAAAGGCTTCCCAGAAGAACTGACATTGACAATTTTGAAATGAAGAAATAGGGGGTTAGGAAGAAAGAGGGAGAAAGGCATCTTAGACAGGAAAGGTGAGCGAAAACTGAGATGGCAAAGAATGGGGTACAGGAAACCACAAAGGAATACATGGTGAAGGAAAGGTAGGCAACATGCATGAGGGAAAGAGAAAATTTTTAAAAGGTAGGTGTGGACCAGATTATGGAGGAACTTAATACATAGCCCTTCTCTTAGAACTTTTTCTATGTTAGACCCAATTCTTAAAAGTAGGATCAAAAAGGAAGAGATGTCCTGGGAGGCTGATGAAGGGAGTAGTGGTGGTAGAGGTGGTGGCATTAACAGAAGCAGTAAATAATAACGAATGTCAAGGGCAAAAGTGACGAAAAAAGACACAACTCAAAATGCTATTTTAGGGGGCTAGCATCTGTACTGTGCAGAGCTATATTGAAGCCTGGGATGAAAAGAAAAATCAGTAATACTGACTGTCTGTATTTTAAATTCTGATATTTTGTTCATCATGGACTTCTGCATTAACTTTAGTTTTTTTAAAAATAGCACATTAATAATCAATATTATGTATCTTGATTACTGAGTATTTTTGCACCCTCTTAAAATTTGCACCTCACTTTTCCACATGAAAGCATATACTTGTATATGTCAGAAGTTCCTAAGGATTTACTTATTATTATACAATAATTGACTTTCAGACTACTGACCTTGAGCCATCCAAAAAAAAAAAAGGATTAATATTGTTTAAGAGAACATTAAGCCCATAATTTATTTTAAAAAGATTACCCCTGTAATGTTATTAAAATAATGTCAAACAAACAAACAAAATGACTTTTAGCCTGTATGGAAAGAAGGACCTTAAGTTAGGTAGGACATTCATTTATGTGAAACAGAGTGACAATGTCAGGTAATAAAGCATTTGGGTATCTAGGAAAAACCTAAGTGGTTTTAGTTAATGCACTAGCCAAGTGCCAAGTACTTAATGAGCTCTTCAACTGAAATAAAGTCTACATTTATGTAAAACTTGCAATGTTCTTTGAATATTGTATGTTTTTCAAGGTTACCCAGAGAAAAATAAAATTCTTTCCAAAAGCCCTTCCCACATTTCTGAGACCTTATCGAAGCTACTTTTTTACCTCTTTTTGGTGGTTGTACATGATACGTTAAGTCATTAATGACCAGCTTAAAGTCATCAAGGAGTAGGAGGTCTATCCCTGTTGAAGCAGCAACTCGAACACCATCTGTGAAAATTTTAAATGAAACTTGTCAAATGTCCACAATTATTCAAGAATGGTCAGGAAAAAGAATCCTCAGAATGGATTTTTAAAATTACTTCTTCTCTTTAAATTTCAGTTAACTTTTGCATCATCCTCCAGTCCTATGCTAAACAAAGTTTAAATTATCTAAAGCTGTTTTTAGGCCTCAAGTCTGTGAAGATGTAACAAAATGCTTTTCCTAAACAACTGTACAAACAAATTATGAAATAATTACTGGTCACAGACCTATAGGTGTCAGTTTGAAATCTAGGTTCCCTGGGATAGCTGTACGAACATCTTATACTTATGTATGATGGAAGCTGGTTGAGAAAAAACCAATGTTTTCTAACATACAATACTTTTCAGCATGGTCACTGATTAGTTGCCAATAGTTCAGTAAGGACGAATGCTAGGGTTAGCAAAGCACACCAAGCTGGTCTACTAATTATATTTCTAGATGAGTTGGGAATTAAGTATATTTAAAATACTTAAAGCACAGAAATGTGGCGATTGTTAACAATGGAAGAATCCAGGTGAAGGGTAAATAAGTATTTACTGTACTTGCCTTTCAAATTTTCTGTAGGTTTGAAATTTTTCAAAGTAAGATGAGAAAAAATTTATGGCACTTAAAAAATAAATAAGTGAAACAGATGTTATGTCAAATGGGAATTTTGGGCCAGCCCGGTGGCGCACTGGAGAGTGCGCCACTTGGGAGTGCGGCGGCACTCCCACCAAGGGTTTGGATCCTATGTGGAGACCGGTTCCTGCTCACTGGTTGAGCGCGGTGCTGGGCGCAACACCGAGGGTTGCGATCCCGTTGCCGGTCAGTAAAAAAGACAAAAAGGAAAAAAAAAAAAAGGGAATTTTTAGTGCCTTATTTTATACTCTTTTCAAATCATATACTTTTTTATTTTGGTAAACTTTCATGTAAAAGACATAAGAAGATCTACAAAGAAGTCCTAACTGTTCATATCTCTAGAGATGAGGGCTCAACTACTAGAAAAATTTATTCTATACCTAAGATAATGATAAAAGGTCTGAATATTATAAAATGTGTTTGATTGCTCATTCTTGCCCATGGCATTATATTGTGAGTTGCTTTTGAATGAGACTCCCTATGCATATACATTTGCTAAAACTGAGCAATTACATCCTAAGAACCACTGGGATATAAAGAAATCACTTTTTCTCCTGGCATTTGCTAAAAAAAAAAAAGTTTTTAAAAGTCTATGGGATTCTTTAGCAGTGATGTGTGCATGTATGTGTGTGTGTGTCTAGAAATGGTTTGGTGGGTGGGAATTAGTAAGGAAGGTGACTATACCTGGTGAGTAGATTGCAACTCTGTCAATTCCCCGATCCTCTTCCTGTAGTTGTCGTAAAAACACTCCAACAGAGTCAGAGATAGGTTTGAGTGTGAACTGGCAGCGTTCACGCCGGGATGGTAGCTTCACAGATATCACAGGTAACCCATTCTGATAAACCACTGTCACATCTGCATGAAAAATATAATAATTAGATTTCACAAACATATAATTAGATTTCATTTTAAGTTGAAGGCAAATGAATACTATTTTTACATGGGGATCTATTGTTATTAGTATGGTTTAAAACGTTTTCAAAGAAGGTTTAAGAATATCCCCTTTATGTTTAGTTGAAGGCTATTCTGGGAACTGGCTTATGGAAGATCAAATGGATCACACAATTCATTTTTCAGATATGAGAAAATAGATAAGCAATTGTCTTCTGAGTGGGTTAAGGAGAGGCTTTCCCAGAAATAGGAGGTAAGTTCTTGGTATCAGTGAATATAAGTCCTGGTTCCATTTAGCAAGATTTTACTAAGTAGCCAGAGATTGCTGGGCCATACTCTATATGCCATAAGAGGTGGCTCTTGGGATACAGAGCTTTCAGGAATCCCTGGAGAATGGCATCTTTTTAAAGTACACTAATAAGTATGTGAGACTCTTACTCAAGGATGGTCAACTCATATTTATAGTACAATATTATACCCAAGTTGCCTGATAAGTAATCATTCTATTGTACAATATGTACATATTATGATACAGTCAAAAAACAACTTATTTTACATTCTTTTGAACATTTTCCTGAGGTTGGCTAGAAATCAAAGCTCAACTATTTGGGATTTAAAAAAAAAAATTATGAAGGGAAACATTATTGTAAGTTGTACAATTGGAGGGATCTTCTACAACAGTGTGGCACAGAATTCCTTACTTCCTTATCTTTTTCCTCAGTATTCTTAATTTAAAGAGCCTTAGTCAGTAAAACGAATGTTAGAAAAACCCTTTTTCAGAATAATTTCCTAATAAATTTTTTTTTTTTTGGCATTGGGCCAGTAAGGGGATACGAATTGTTGTTGACCCTGGTGTTACCAGCACCAGGCTCTCCTAAGTGAGCTAACTGGCCAGCCCGACATTAATTTTTTTAATAAGTATATTGTAAGCCAGATTTATTTTTACAAAAGTATCTAAGCATTTAAAGATGATGTCAGACTTCCAGCCATGGAGCCGTGGCAGTGGCCAGGGGCCAGGGGTTGGGCCACTGGTCAGGCCCTAGCAATCCATGCAACGGGCCACAGAGGGCCCTGTCTGCTTCTCTATTGCCCCAAGGGTGTGGCCACACCTGGCTGGGGAAGTGTGAGTGACCATGGGTTTTGTCCAGGCTCAGAGACTTTGAGAATAAACC